TATATATTTCCAGGTGATTCTGATGTAGTCTGTCCACAAATCACTTGGAGTGGAGCGGGGCGGGGGGGGGAGGGATTATTCTGCAAGCCAGGAGCTGAAGCTACCAATTTGGGCAGAGGATGAATGAATTATGACCCTGACAAGTAATGTCCTTGCCCAAAAGCTGCTCAGGTTTGCAGTTCTGGGCCCTGGAACCCTGAGCCTCCTTTTCCAACAGACAAAACACATTTTCTCCCATTGAGTCATCCAAGCCTCTGACCCCAACGCTGCTCTGATCCTGTTGGACAGACAGGGAACCCAATCTGGTCACACGAGTTAGAGGCAGTGTTCAGACGGCCCCATTTTCCACCCACTCTTGTCACATGCTAACTGCAGAGAGCGGTTTCAGCTCCAAATCGTGTCAGCGTTGACACAGAGCAGAGGAGATGATGACATGCTTTCTCACCAGAGTCCTCACTCTGGTATTCTGACCCTGGCCACTTTTTTAGCTTTATTTCCAGAAAGAAGCATTTTCCTAATAGGAATAGCAAACAGGCATAAGGCCCTGTTATAAGACTTTATAGAAACAGTCTAATTCACTCCTCACCATAGCCCTATAAAGTTGAGACTATTTCAATTTCCACTTTACAGATAAGAAAACTGTGACTCAGAGACAATAAGCAACTTGCTCATGTTGCCAAGTGAACTTGCCCAGCTAATAAATGAAGAGCAACCACAAAATATGGTCCCAAAGCCTCTGCTCTGAACACCATGAGTCGTGAGCACTCACTCATTTCCTCATCCATGAGGACTGGATTCCAAATGGGACGTGCAGTCCCTGAGGGCATATAAGATCCACAGTTCTTTATCTTCATCCAACTCTTTAAATCTCTACTTTTGTGCACATTTGTTGTAGAGATATTAGCACATATATGTAATTTATAAATTAATAGATAGGAAATGCGGATCTATACTCAACACTTTTTTTTTTTACCAATAGGGTGTGCTACCAAAACAGTTTGAACCCCATTGTTTAACACAACTTCTGTTTTTGGTAAAGGGGGTATGATGATAATAATAAGGCTATTTCTTCACAGAGCTATTTTGAGATGGAGTGAGCAGGCACAAGCAGGGTGTGCCGCACCTGGCTGTGGGACACTCTAGATTAATTTGAGTGGCCATTATTGTTTGCTCTCCCTTGCTTATCCACCTCCCCAGTCTCCTTCATGCCAACATTTCTCCAGAAATATGTATGTAGCACCTGCTAGGATCCAGAGCCACAGCCATTCCCTAGAGAGCCAGAGGACACTCAGCCGTGGGCCCTGGGTTTGGAGGAGTCCACAGAGACAGTTTCAGGAACAGATGGTGAATAAGTGGAGGGAGATCAAGTTTCTTCAACAGGCCTTGAGAGGGGAGGGTGTGGTCCACCAGAGATTCCAGGGAGCCTTCCTAGAAGAGGGGACCTCTTAGTGAAGCCTTGGTGATGGCCAGAACTCACATGAAGCAGAGAACATGCACCTGCAAGCCAAGCCAGCTGTGTGTCATTTATTGAGTACCTACTATGTGATAGGTACTTGTCTAGTCATTTGGGGTACAACTATGAACCAGCCAGACAAAATTCTCTGACCTTGTGGAACAAACAGCCTTGTGGGGAAAACAAAGTAACGAGTAAAATATATGGAGAGTAAGAGGCAAGATAAGCTAAGAAGAAAAATAAAGTGGGGCAGGGAATCAGAAAGTGCTGGAGGTCCTGGTGGGGATGTTCTGAGAAGGGAGCATTGAGTCAGGATGAGGAGAGGGAGCCAGCATGTGAAAGAAAAGCATTCCAGGAGGAAGAGACAGCCAGTGTAAAGGCCCTGAGGCAGGAGTGTAGGGGCATGCACTTATGAAACAGTCCAGTGGGCCTGGACAGAGTGAGCAAGGGAAAGGCAGAAGGAGGCAAAGAGGGACAATGCAGCGCTGCAGACCATCAGGAGGTCTCTGCCTCTGAGGACCACAAGCGTCAATGGAGGGTGCGGAGCAGAGCAGGGACATGATATGACTTCCAGTTTAACTCCATGCTTTCTGGCTGCCTGTGGAAGAATGGATTGAAGGGGGTGGGAGAGCAGGAAGATGGACTGGGAGGCTGGATCACTGATCCAGGCCCATCATCTCAGCTCCAAGGAAGGCTCACCTAGACTCCATGCCCCCCAACCCCAACCTGCATCCCAGCACAGGCAGTGTTTGCTCAGAAAGTCCTGCCAGCTAACCCCCGGGGAAAACCCAGGCTAGCGGAAAGAGACATTCAGAAACCACCAACCCTGCAATTACCTGTAAGATGGATTCTTCTCCCTGACAGGGTGCGGGAGATACTGAGCCTGTTATTAACCAAGGCCTAATTACAGTGTGTCGGGCTGCAATGCTCATTGCAAGAGAAATACCGGCGGCCTGCAAAGTGAGGCTAATTGTTCCCCGCTCCCTCCTTCTTTTTGTCAGAGGCATTCAATCTGCCTGAAATAATTACACTTCTCCCCCCCAGAGGCTCGGAGACAGGCTTTGCTGTTCTCCCAGGGCTGGAGATTTAGTATCCTGAATCTGAAATTGCAGCAGGCAGGTTGGCAATCAAGGCCCTAGGCAAGCCTTATCTCCTTAGGCCTGTGTCCCAGGGCCAAGTCCCAGCACTGCTCTGAGCAGCCGGGATCCTCTGTCTCATGCACTGTCCAGAGCATCTCTTGATGTTTGAGCAAATGACTTCATATCTCAGAGCCTCAGTTTTCTGATTGGTTAAATAGTTATATAATATCAATTGCCTGAACTGTGGATAAATGCTTCAACACAGGTGCTGATGTGGGTACTAATACCTGGTGCTTATTATGCCACAAACTTTTTAGAGGTGAAAGAGATTTCCTGTGTTGAGCACCTACTATGTGCTGGACATACAATGTTCAGTAAGTATCCACTGAATGAATGGTCTCCTTTTAACAACATCTCACAACCAACCTGGAAAAGAGTGAGTTATTGTTCCTGCTGCACAGAAGAGAAAGGCCAGGCAGAGGGCGGCGGCTCTCCCCGGTCATGACCACACACGAGCAGGTATGTGTGAGTCTCACAGGTTTTAGGGAAGCAGAGTGACCTTCCTGAATGTGCGGCTCTCAGAAGCAGTGACCTGCTGATGACCTTGAGCGAGTCCTTCCTCACTGGGTCTGAGTCTCCTCACTGACCTTACAGTTTCCCACCTGTAAGATGACATTGGGACCTGGATGGTGGGCAATGTTGGCAGCATGCATGATGAGCTGGTTGTTTCCATGGTCTTTTCTTTCCACATGGCTACCTGGGGAAAGTCTCTACCTGGTGCCTGTCATTAGCCTTCTGCTCTCATTCACCGAGGGAACAGACCTAGGACAGGCCCCCTGAGACGGACCCAATTGTGTCCAGGTACCACCATCACCTAGAAGTCACTGAGTCTTTCTACTCTTACCTTTCACTTAC